ATTAATATAATTATATAAAGTAACTTCTTCTTCCCTTAAAAGCTTTATATTTACCGTTAAATAGCTTTCCCTAATAAAAACACCTTATTATTATTATTAAAGCCTATTATAAGGCACATTAAAATTTTAAGCTATAACGCGTAATTTTACACTTAGATTTTTATTAATAAATTAAAGGGCCTTAATTACACGTATTTTCACTTCGCTTTTTAACTTTTAAACGTTAATTATAGGTATTTTTACGGTTAAACGCGTCTAAGTTTAAAATTAGGCCGCATTAATAATTAGGCCACGTTAGTGATAAGCACCACCTTTAGGTGGTGAGTGAAACGAGGCCCCTAAAATAGTGGGGCGTGGCACGAGTAGTAGGGACCGAGCTACCTACATTAGGTCACTGGTATCTACCTAAGCCCTCGTAGATATGGGGTTTAACCATGGTTCTCATTCCGCCGGCGCGTAATCAGCATCCTTAAGGCTCGTTCACCCCAACCGCATTCTTGTAGCAGACTTGTTAATTATGGTTCCGCCGGCACTGGTGATACAAGGGAAAAGCTTCACGCTTCGCAGCGTGGTCGCGGGCTTGGCTGTTGGGACGGTCATCTGTGCAGCCAATGTTTACTTTGGACTACAGACTGGCTGGGTGTCAATAATGTCCATGCCTGCTAGTCTGATGGGATTTGGAATTTTCAAAATATTGCGACCTCATTTGACCTTCCCGTTTTCTCCAGTCGAAAATGTCTTATTGCAAAGCGTCGCCTGTGGTATGGCTATAATGCCGCTTGGATGCGGCTTTGTTGGAGTGGTTTGTTTTAACCCCCCCTTTGCTGATCACCACCAGATGTATGGCAAATTGACGCGATCGACCACAGATTCCTGCTATGAACTACCTATTGAAACCTGGTGAACAAGGGCCTATATACCTCAGCACCTTACAACTCATTATTTGGTCACTTGGTCTGTGCTATTTCGGAGTTGTATTCGCCGTACCTTTGTGAGACAAACCTCTGCGGCAACGCTATCATTGTGGCAAACTTTCATCAAAAACACGAAATAATGCCTGGCTAACAGCTGAGATTGGTTCATATCCTTTCGTAGGAGGCAGCAGGTCATTATTCGAGAGCGACTAAAATTTCCCAGTGGTTTCAGCACTGCTGTCCTCATATCTGTGCTTCATGGCAAAACGTCTCAATCTTCCAAGCCAGAGAATTTAGATAGCGCCGCACGGGGTGGTTTTGCCAGCCTAGTTCCACGTACGGCTATTCAAGACTTCGCTGTACCAGATACCATTAGTAATAATGGTGACGAAAATGACATCGAAACTCAAGCAGATCCGCCATCTGACTGGGCATCAAACATGGGACTTCTTCTTATTTGTTTCCTCATTTCCGGCTTCTTTACCATACTGACGTATTTCTTGCCTATCGTGCGAAATCTTCCGATATTTGGTACTGTTGCCGCAAACACTTGGCTCTGGACATTGAACCCTAGCCTCGCTTATGTTGGCCAGGGTGTTATTATGGGCACTGAGACAACACTACATATGACATTGGGAGCCATTGTTGGTTGGGGTTTCCTCAGTCCGTTGGCAAAATTCAAGGGCTGGGCTCCAGGGCCAGTGGATGACTGGGAACATGGCAGCAAAGGATGGATTGTCTGGGTATCCCTGGCCATCATGCTGGTAGATGCTGTCGTTAGCCTCGGTTATGTTGGATGCCGTTCTATTCCCTCCTTTCCAGGAATGGGATTCATTGAAAACTTCCGCAAAAGACTACACAAGGCAAGAGAACATATATTTGGAGATGCGTCACCTCAGTACTCCCTGCTGCAGAATCAGGACGAAGACTTTCAGTCTCATACGCGAGACACCACCAATGATATAATGGAGGCTAGTCGCGATGGTAACGATGACATTGATAGAAATGACGATGACGGTGGCGATGACGATGCTCCGGCTGATCAGCGTATTGGACGGAGGTTGGTAGTCATCGGACTCATCACTTCCATTATATTATGCATCGGAACGACCCACTTCGTGTTCGGCGATCTTGTTCCTTTATACGCAACCGTTGTTGCTGTTTTCATTGCTTTACTTTTGAGCATAATGGGTGTACGGGCGCTCGGGGAAACAGACCTCAACCCTGTTTCAGGAATTAGCAAGCTGGCTCAGCTTTTTTTCGCCCTTATCATTCCCCAGTCTAACAAGTCTAGCGTCCTGATTAATCTTGTGGCTGGTGCAGTGGTAAGCCAATCCATTCCCTTACCATATCCCTGATAGCACATGACTATCTGTGTTGCGTTGTGTATTGAACTACATCACTGGGAATATTACTGACCTACAATACTAGTCAGAAGCAGTGAGTGTTGAAATGCCACGCGTAATACTTTGTATCGCCTAACCATTTCAGGGTGCATTGCAGGCCGGGGACCTTATGCAAGACCTCAAAACTGGGCATTTACTAGGGGCTGCCCCGAACGCCCAATTTTGGGGGCAAGTGATCGGTGCCACTGCTGGAGCAATCCTGAGTGCCTTCATCTACCGAATTTACACATCGTAGGCAATAGTTCTACCAGATCTACGATCTTAGGGTTCATCAACTAACAGACGTGACTCTTCAGGGTCTATGCGATACCGGGAGACCTATTTCAAGTCCCTACTGCTTATGTTTGGATATTCACAGCGAGGTTAGTTACAGGGCAAGGACTACCGTATATGGCCAAAGAGTGGGCTCTGGGGGCAGGGATTGTGTTTGCTATTATAACATTGATTCGCACCGCTGGTGTGGACAAGTGGTGGCGGCCATATGTCCCGGGAGGCATCGCTGTGGCGGTCGGTACGTTTAAATATTTATGTACCATGGCTTAAAGGCTTGCTAATTCAATTCAGGAATATATAATGTACCGTCGTTTACCCTCGCCCGAGCGGTAGGCGGGATCATCTGTTGGCACTGGACAAGAATTCTAGGACGATCGAATGCGCAGCTCATCATTCTCGCGTCGGTATGCCAGACTTAGCTCTATTTATCTACTTGAACATGCTAACTTTTGAAGGGGTTTATTCTCGGAGAAGGTTTCTTGAGTATTGCGAACTTGATTCTTCAGGGCCTAAAGGTGCCGCATTTTTAACAAGTATGCTCCATAGATGTTACAGCCGCAGTCATCCAAGTCTGTAGTTGGGGCCCCCCGGG